GGCTGTTGGAACGGATTAATTTCGTAAGTAGAGGTACCACTGTACTCAGTTATAGCATTATGATTTCACATTTATCCTGTGGAATCCTGGAGTTTGTAGTTTGGGGAGGCACCAGAGCTACCTGCCTCAGAATTCCAAATTCCCCTCTCTAAACAGCAAATCCCAGGATTTCATAGGATGCTGCATGGCAATTAAAGTGGAATATAGCCAGTGTGGCTTAGTGGTTTGAGCACTAAACTACAGCTCTGATAACCAGGGTTCAATTCCCCACTCAGCCATGAAAACCACTAAGCGACCTTGGGCAAGTCACATGCTCACAGCCTCAGGGGAAGGCAAGGGCAAACCTCCTCTGAACAAATCTTGTCAAAAAACAAACAAACCCCATGATAGGTTCACCTTAGGGTCACCATAAGTTGGAAATGACTTGAAGGCACCCAACAACAACAACAACAATAACAACATTATAACTATGTAATGTGAAAGGCCCCCTGGTATTTAAGCAGGAGTAGGCAACCTTTAAGGGTCGAGGGACTTCAGCTCCCAGAAGCCCCAGCCATGTTGGCCAATAGTCCCATGTTGGCCAATAGCTGCTGGGATTCTGGGAGCTGAAGTCCCTCGGCCCTTAAAGGGGAAAGGTTGCCTACCCCTGTATTAAAGGGTGTACTGTCTCTGGTCCTGGATATAATATATAGACATCATGTCTAGTGGGTATTTATAGCCGTATCCTTTGTTTTTGTTTTTTGTTGTTAACTGCCCTCAAGTTGATCTCGACTCATGGCAACCGTATGGATGAGACATCTCCAAGACCTTCTGTCCTCCACTGCTCTGCTTAATTCCTGCAACCCCTTCATACCCATGACCTCCATAATAGAGTCCATCCATCTGGCATGTGGCCTTCTTCTCTTCCTACTTCCCTCCACCTTTCCCAGCATTATTGTCTTTTCCAAAGAGTCCTTCCTTCTCTTGAGGTGTCCCAAGTACGACAGCCTCAATTTGGTCATCTTGGCTTCCCAGGGAGCTTTTTGGCTTGATCTGCTCTAGGACCCATTTGTTTGTCCTTTTTGCTGTCCATGGGATCCTCAGCACTCTTCTCCAGCACCACATCTCAAATGCATCAATTTTCTTCTTGTCATCTTTCTTAACTGTCCAGCTCTCACATACATGAGTCTACCTCATCCACTTTCTTAAAGTTACTTAAAGTTGGTGGCTATCGTTTCAGCTTGTGGAAAGGTAAAATAGCCACTTCAACTTGTGACAAGTAGTCATTCCAGAGGTTGATTATGCATTGCGTGAAAAAATATTTGGATGTGTCAAGTCTTCAGCATTCTGGCAAGCCACTTCAAGTTCCCAGGTTCTGGGATTATGAGATGAGAACTTTTTTCTCCCTTCCTGTTTAGTATTACATAAACCTCTGTCTGGTCTCAGACATCTTGACAAATCACCCTTTACATTGCCAAGAGGGGGAAAAACAACAACCTCAAATGCCCATAAAGCTATCTACAGGTGGTTTTCATTTTTTGCAAAGGTGAGTTTTACATTCATTTTCATTCTCCTCATTTTATAGACAGAGGGCTGTTTAAATGTCAAAGTAATTTAAATTACTTCAAAGTAATTTAAAATCCTACATTATTGAGCAGCTACTTAAGCATTGTTGATTAGCCCAAATATTATTCTTTGGGGAGAATATCAGAGCACAAATAGTTGGAATGTAGATCAAAGGAGATTTAAAGGTCCAAAATAAGTTGATCCAAAGAAATACTGTGGAAATTTTGCCTTATAAACACATACACACACACATATATATACACACCAAAAAAGAAAATGAAATACTTTCATCATATTTTGGGACTGAACCATGTTGGAAACCAGGGAGGTATATATGTTGGAACATCGCAGCAAATACTGGACTAGTGTTTCGTCATCCTCAACATTTGGCCTGTTGACAGTTGCCAAATTGGATGAACCAAGATCTCTGGAGAATCAGGGATCTTGAGGAGAAAAAAATAACTGTTGAAGCTAAATGAAATAAGAATGGGCAAGAGAGGGAGGTGTCCCTTCTGAAGCAATCTCTCTCATCAGATTTCTATTGAGTTTAGCCCCTTGGTGTTTAGAATAAAGAAACAAAAATTCAAAAATAATCCAGTTGGACACTACTTTAACTGCCATGGCTTGGTGCTATGGGATTTTAGAAATATTAGTTTGGTATGGCACCAGAGCTCTCTAACAGAGAAGGCTAAATGTCTCATAAAACTACAGTTCCCAGAATTCCCAAGCATGGAGCCAGGGCAGTTAAAGTGGTGTCAAACTGGATTATTTCTACAGTATGGATGCAGCACTCAAGAGTGACACTGATCTGGATGCAGAAGCAACAACTGTACCTCTTCCATTATGGATCAAAGGGCCGATGCAGACCGGCCGTTTGGGGCAGCACAGAGCCACCCTGGGAAGTGGCAAATTGCGGCCACGGCAACCCCATGCCGTGGCTCCGATCCTCCATTTTGCTGCCCCCAAAAGAGCAGCAAAATGCCACTCCTTTTAGGGGAGGCAAAAGGCCGCCCTGAGAGCTGGCGCTGCAGCTCTTCAGTGCCCTTTTGGTGCAGCGTGTTTAAACATACTGCGCCGGGAGGGTGGCCTGATGCCACGCACCATGCATACAGCTGCACAGTGTCAGGACAGCATCAAGGTGGGGTTGGGGCGTCTGCAACAGCCCAAAGTGAAGGGAAAAAAAGCAATTGTCTATGTAGCTGGCTAACAAAAGGAATTGGTAGTTACAGCATCTGCGGAAAGCCAGCTGGCCACAAATAGTAATTTACAGTACAGTTTTTATCAACCATTGGCCCTTAAGATCTTTTGGACTTCAGCTCCCAGAGCACAGCAAGAGTGTTGCAACAGCTGGAACAAAAGATGGCATTGGCTCCCGAATAAGATTTTGCTCTCCAAAATGAAATTTTCATTCAGTTCCCAAATTACTAGCATTGCCGTTGAGCATTTGGACAAACACTGTAGGTATTCAAAGAAAAGAATATGGTAGATTCTGGCAAAATCCCAACAATAACACTTCAGAAACTTGCTAAAACTTTGTGCAAGAAAGCCTTTCTATGTATATACATTTTTGTAAGCAGCCAGACCCACTTCTGACGCATCCACAGCTGTGTATAGAAATTCATTCTCAGCTTTGACACATGTGCTGACACCATACAGGGATCCAGTGTTTCTTCAGAGAAAAGAAAATGCAGTGATATTGGCTTCTGAAATTAACTGTATTTAAAACCATCCCAAGTGAACAATTTCTCTACAAGTTTCCAGAGAAATCACAGCACATTGGACTTTATTAACAGTTTGAATCATTATAGTAGGGCGACTTGGACAATGATGCATTTACTTCCTAACCACAATCATTTAGTTTACCCAACTATTTCAGGTGGAAAAAAACTGTACATTGCAATTGATTTGCTTTTTTTTAAAAAGCATCATAAAATGTTTTATAATCAAAATGCATTAACTGGGGATTTTATTTTGACCATTAGCTGTGATTTTCTCTGCAAAGAAACTTCTTTTATAGCACTCAATAGCTGCACCTTTCTGTCCCCTCATTTTTGTCTCTGCGCCTCAATGAAAATTGTCTTGTAATACCCCTAACTCTTTTAAGCAAGGAGATCACCAAAAAATGAGGGTTGAGTGGAGGAGAGTGGTTGGGATCTTCGGACAAACCTTTTGTTTCAGGTCCCAGTTATTAGGAAATATTGCCTGCTGAACTCAGCAACACTTACTACCCACACTGCAAGATTATAGCAGTTTAATCCTTTGATTGCAAAATCGGCAGGTTGGCAGTTCAAGACCCGCGTGCTGCCTGATGGGGTGAGCTCCTGTCACTAGTCCCAGCTTCTGCCAACCTAGCAGTTGGAAAGCATGCAAATGCAAGTAGATAAATAGGTACCACTTTGGTGGAAAGGTAAACAGCGTTCTGTGCAATCATGCTGGCCACAAGATCACAGAGGAGTCTCTGACAATGCTGGCTCTTTGGCTTAGTAATGGAGATGAGCATCACCCCCTACGGTCGGACATGACTTGACAACCCTGTCAACGAGGAATACCTTTACCTTTAATCCCACTCACCATGGGTCGAGATCAACTTGAGGGCAGCTAACAACAGAACAAAAACTGCCATGACTCCATCCTGTTGAATCCTAGGATCTGCAATTTGATGAGGGACAGAGCACTCTCTAGTACAGGGGTAGGCAACCCAAGGCCTCTGGACTGGCCCCAGGTTGGTCTTGCCGCTGCCGCCGTTGCTGCCTTCCATGATGATATTGATTATTGTTGTTATTACTTGTTCTTGGGGTTTTCTTGGCAAAATCTCCACAGGGGTTTTTTCTGGGGCTGAGAGAGTGTGCATGCATTTTTTAATTTTTAATTTTTTAATTATTTTAAAAATATTTTTATTTATTTATTTATTTATTTATTGTGCTTTGCCCCCCCCCCCCCCCCAATTGTCTGAGGGACAGCAACCCAGCCCCCGGCTCAAAAAGGTTGCCTACCCCTGCTCTAGTACATTTCCCATTATAGCAGTTTGGCAGAGTAGTCTCTCACCAAACTATAGTTCCCATAGAATGCAACCTTTTATCATTCAGGATGCATCACAATTATAGCACTTAGAATTCTCTGCCAAACTGATATAGTGGAAAATGTACTACAGAGGGTGCAATTGCAATAAAGGTTGCCTCAAAGTGTGATAATTGTGATACATTGGTACCTCTACTTACGAAATTAATTTTTTCCAGCAGCCATTTCGTAAGTAGAAAATTTCGTAAGTAGAAGCAAAT